ACCCCCTTCCCTCCCCTTTTTTTTTCTTTATTTTTTTTGGGTTTTTCCTTTTTTTTTTTTTGCCCTTCCCCCCCCCCCCCCCAGGGAAGATGTTTATATCAATGAATGTGCATTAGATCTGGACAGTTAACATCAGTATTACTCAAATGATTACCTTATTGATCAGCAGGCCCTTTTCTGAACTGCTTTGCATAATTTGGGCTATTAAATTTCCTCTTTTGTAGGTGTCTCCTATTGCAGTTTGGGTAAACTCAAATCCCCAGCTGGTTTCTCTTTACTTACCTCCTCTGTACATCTGGACACAGGCTGACCCCTGCTCCCAGCTGCTCAGTGCTGGCCGTATGTCCTAGTCTTGTTACCCATACAATTAAAGGTAAAATGTAACAAACTGCCAATTTCAAACAGCACACAATGTTAAACTTGTTATTCTACTCCATATTTCATGCATGAATCAACCAAAACTTGACTGCATTTTAATTGCCCAAAACAGAACAAAACTATGTGAGGAAGATCAAGATTTAGACTTAATACACTTCTTATGGAAGCCAGTCCCTCTTTCCGGGACCAGATTGTACAAGGCAAGTTGCAGGCAAAACAGCTGAAATATGTTCTTCTTTAATGTGCCCACACTGTACACACACACTCTTACAAGCCTGTGAAGCCAGATCCCTGACCTTCCTCACTGTCTGACAGCAGGAGTGCTCAGTGAGCGGCCTCATCTGTATATTGTGGGGAAACCTCAGCACCAGCTGGCCCTTCCAGTGCCCCTGGCAGTCTGGATGACATCCTCACCAGGGACAGTGCTGCTCTGGCACCAGCCCATGGACTGCACAGCTGCAAAGCATGGACTGTAAAAAAACATAAACTACAGGACAGCACACTCACACACTGAACAACTCTTCAAAACGTTTTTCTTCCTTTCTATGGGAAGACAGCCAGTCTATATTGCTGGCACCGAAGTGCTACCTTGTGATACTCCTGCTCTGGAAAGATGGCACAAACAGCCTTATCTGGAGCCAGTACCTCCTTCACCCCCACCTCTGAGGAAAACTGGCAAGGCAGCATCACTTAACGAGAGCACCTTCGCACCGTGTATGACACACTGCTTTGGCTCTCAGAGATGGCAGAAGTCCAGCTTACACTGTGTCTGGGTGCCACCATCAACGCCCGTGTGGCAAAAAATTGGGTTGCCTGTCAACTCAAATGCACCTGTAAGCCTGTCACATCAGCGCCAGGGGTGTCACCAGCCAGGCAGATGGTGGATTGCAGATCAGGTGTGCATGCACAAGGTGCCCAAAGATACTTTGTCCCTCCATAGGTATCAGACACTGTTCTGGCTGGAGTGGGAGGGGAGGCCTAGATTGGTCACATTCCCCCCCTCCCTCTTCCCAGCAGCCACCCGGAGCACTGGCACCGCAATAGGCAAGAGTGGAGGGCAGAAAGCATGCAGAAGTTCCGGGGTGTTGTGGGGAGGAGGAGCGAGTTGCTCCGCATAACTCTGTGTGAGCTGCTCACTGGCCTGAGCAGCCAGGCTTCAGTGCTGATGGAGAGGATGCTCAGAAAGAACAGTGTGGTAGCACCCTTCCTTGGTGGAATTCACTATCAAATGCAGGTGAAAAAGAGGCACTGTTGATTCAGGAGGAGATGATTTCTCTGGGGAGCCATGGCTGATGGAGCTTCTGTTAATGCTGCTTACCTTTCACAGACAGTTTGTCTCAGGGCCTCGGGGCCTCAATCACTGATTGATAACTACATGCAAAGCATGCCAGGATAGTCCAGAAGATGGTTAGTCAAGCACCTTGGGCTAGTTTTAGCAGACCAATGTATTTTAAGACATAAATAATTCTGTTCTTTGGTATCTGACTGACAGTGCGGACCTTTCTTTGCCTGTGTGTGAGAAAAGTAAAAATCTGTTAACTGGATAAACTCCAATACAGTAGAGAAAAAGTGTATCTTTTTTTTTCTCATTAGCTGTTCTGGGAAGGCTTTTGGCCCCCTGCATTTCTTTTTTCTTCACTTTCCCAGGAAGGGCATCCTTCCCAGTGCCTACTAACTGTAGACACATCCAGGTTTTGGACTATAGGTTTTGAATTCCCAAACAACATGCCATGACAATGATGAAGGGAGGCTACCATAGGTGCCCCAACTCTTAACCAAGAGTACAGGGAGGAGTGTGCAACATTCCAGGAAGCTGAGTCTACTGGGACCGTCATCACTGGTTGCCCTGCCCTATTTGTCCTGCCCACTACAGATGCTCAGCCACACACTGGATTTAAAAAGCCTTGTGTGGCCTCGTTACACTTAGGAGTCTTAACAACAGCAACAGCAGCAACATGAGTGTTATGTAGGCAGAGACTTGTTTGCTGAGCTGCAATGAGTTTGTAGTTTGGTAGGTACCACTTTAAAATTGCTTAGCTAAGGGTTAAAAGCAGTTAAACTGTGCTGGCTGGTTTGATCACATGAGTTATTATATTTGTAACTCAGATGAAGGATGAAGTCACTGAGGGCAAGCAAGACATGGGTGTAACACTGTAATAGGAGTTTAATCACAGTTCATTGCAAGGAGTATTAACACCTCTTTCCATTTACACCTCTTTCCTATAGAACATGTATGCAGAGTGCAGAACATAGCATAAATGCCCTCACATAAACCTCTCTGGAAATTGTGACTTGGAGGAAGGAGAGAGGCTGTGGTGCACAGGCATATCAGCTGTACTTCCTCCAGCTGTCTAAGAATGACTGACCATGGGACTTCCCTGTAGCAGGTAGAGCAGCCCATTAGCCACATTTGTGCGGCTAGCTCTCATGCCAATGCCTCCTAACAAAATTGCTTGAGAACAGTGACTACCATGCCACCTCTTCTTATTGCAAACATATCTAAATATAACCCAGAGCTCATTTTCTTAGGAACAAGTACTGGCAGGTCCTAAACTGGAGATGGGAATGTTTGATAGCTCTCAAGTGCAGTGCCAGTCCTTGGCTGTGGTTGACGTATCTCCTTGCTTATGCCAAGAGGTCTTAACAGATAACTGCAAAAGCTGGACAGACCTGGGTATCTGGAAGGAAGTGAATTGCAGGGTTCAGATTGCAATCTTGTGCAGGTCTGTGACGTAGTGGGGTCTGCTGGGGTGCCTATGAGGAAAGGAGGATTGAAGTCATTCAGCTGTAGCAGACATTACAGTGATGCTCTCAGTGTCTCTGGAGATCCTGATACCACTCTCCTCCTCTTTCAGTGCATGATAAAGTCTGCCTTCTCCTAGTCACACTGGGAAAGCCAAACTGCATGTCCAAGTCCGTGGCGCCTTCTTCATGAAGTCTTTCTACAATATCCTGTACCTAAACCAGGATTACTTCCTTTTCTCATTTGCTTAGCTGCAGGTGAAAGTGCCATTCCTGCCTTTTATATAATCCTTCACCGCATTGTATTTTTTGCCTGAGTACATCTGTCAATTCCGTCTAAACTATCTGCTCTGACTGCGGAGAAAGCTCTTTTCAAAATTGCCAAGTGCACCTTAGCTATGCAAAACGTAATTCCTGCAAGTATTTCTTTCATGTAGAAAAGAATAAGTGTTCCAAGCAGCAATTCTACATCGCTGAGGTTAATTTACATCTTTGCTGAAAAGTTATTAAAATGAAAGATCAGAGCTCCTCTCTGTGTCACATAATTTCTAAATTACTTCAGTTTATTTTAAGACAGTAGACTGTAACCATTGGAGATCAGAAACTGTAACACATATTATTAGCTACCCCTGTTGAGAACGGGGAGAGGGTAGCAACTGCTGGGAGCAAAGCCAGGCAGACAACTGGGATGGCGACCATTTTAGCCACCTCAATTTCTGTCACCAATAAATGTGAATCATTGCTCTGTGAACCCACAACTGAGGGTTGCAGTATTTAAATCTCCTCCAGTAAAAGTTACGAAAGTAAACATGTACGAGTTCAAAATAACAAGAGTAGGCAACATGAGTTGACATGTCTATGCTTTTCCTTTGTCTATGTGCTATGAAGTGTCTTGGTATCTGCTAAGTGTCATCTACTCCCAGCATTGCTGCCTTATTTTACTATGGATTCAAGTCAATGGAAAATCTCATTCACTGTTTTACAAACAGATATGGGATATAGGCTTAAAATACACTTTTTTTTTACTTCAGTTCTGTAATTTGTGAAGGTGTATCTTCAATATCCACATCCACTCCACTTTATTTCATTCCTGTATCCTTACTTTACGTTACATAACTTTTACAAACAAGACCCTGAAAGTCCTTATTTGATTAGCCCACTTCTCAATTATCTTCCTGTTGACGCATTACAAAGATCAGGTGCACTTTTCCTGTGACCTTTTTTCTGGTAAGTTTTTCTTCTAGGGTGCAGGGTGCAATTTTTCCCTTCACTGCATTTATTCATTGTTTCATATTCACTGAAACACAATTTTACAGCAAACTAAAATATTTTCATGTTATATATACATGTAGTATTTAGAAAAAAAGCCACTGTAAATGGAACAATGAGGTGGAAATAGGATTACACTTACCTAAAACTATCTATTAATACAATCTGAAACCTTGGTTGCTACTATCTACTTAAATACTGTGTTTACATTATATGTTATATCTGGGTATATCAAAGGAAATTAGAGGGCAGCACTGAAGTGTAGTCTGTGATTCTTAATTAACTAGAAAAGGCAACGGCTAATGCACTTGTTCATAATCAGGTACAGATACATGAAATCTTGCTCAAGATTTCTGTTCTGTACAGCATATTACATCATCTTCAACCATCTAGATATCAGTATCGATTGAATTCTTCCTGGTGCTTTAGGAATGACCTACGGCCTACCTCTCCCCTTGTTAAAACTCAGGTTATCACAACGGCCTCTAGTTTTTGTCCTGAAAGCATTTCCTTCTTTTGATGATGGTTGTAAAATAAGTAAGGAAGAATTAGGTGGGTTTTATTTAGAGTGGGTAGAGGATTCAGAATTGGCTTTAGATAAACCTTTGTCTAGACATACTGTGTGAAATGCGTTTAAAAAAAAACACAAACAGTAATATGATTTTAAATACTACTACTTTTAGAGAACACACAGAACAAGGTAATATTCTCTGGGCAGGAAGAACACAACTACTAAACTGCCACACTAGCCCTTGCACATTTTAAATGACTACAGAGACAATTTCAGTAAATATCACCAGAACTTTAAGAGCTTGCTTTCTTTTACAAAGCTGCAGTTTTGTAACATCAGATACCAAATGACTGTTTCCTTCAAAGTGACATGCAACATGAAAAACAAAAAGCTTGATATATTTAATAATTGGTACAGAAATTCATACGGAAAACAAACAAAAGAAAGAAAACCCCCAACATAAGGTAGCAGGGTTAAGTTTGCCTCCCTTCTACTGACATTACAGGAAGACAAAATAAAACAACGGTGTGTTTATAAATCTCCAGATATCAACAAATTGCATACGGCTCTATAAAAAATGCAATAAAAGGTTGTACGAGACACTATTTCACTAGACTTTAGCGTTTTAGGAGGTAAAACACACGGTCAAAGGAACCGGTTCTTAATCCATATTCAGAGCTGAGAGAGGAGTTTGTGTTACTTCCTCCTCTTCAAAATCAATTTAAACTGTCAAAATAACTTTAAAACGGCAGATTTCCATCTTAGCCCCGAGAAAACCCCCTAAACAATCAGACTGTGCCGTTACCGTAACATTTATGTCAAAAGGAAATTTTTAATTTGCAAGGAAAAACAAAAGTTTCTCTCTTCAGAGGTCTCTGGAGCAGCAGCACACCGGATAAATCGCCTCTCCTTTAGCTCAGCCCGCGTGTTCGCGGCTGGAAACTCTCTCGGACGCAAGTACCTGCTCTTCCCCTCCCTCACCGGGCAAACGGGGCGATTCGGTGGCAGAAATTCCGAGGAAAACGCACTTTTGTGAGTCCAAAGAAACACAAATCGAGCACACCGAAGGGCTCCCCGGCCGCGCGCCGGGGCGGGCTCTGCAGCGCACCAATCACCGCGCGGCTCCGCTCTCAAAACAAGAGCATCTGACCCGCGCCAGCCCAATTGCGTTCGCCCGCTCG